AGGAGTCCTTGAACTCTGTCCCCAGGGCCTTGCCCTTGCAGGAGGCTTGCTCCTGTATATGTTTCGGGGACAGGAGTCCTTGAACTCTGTTCCCAGGGCCTTGCCCTTGCAGGAGGCTTGCTCCTATGTATATGCTTCAGGGACAGGAGTCCTTGAACTCTGTCCCCAGGGTCTTACCCTTGCAGGAGGCTTGCCCCTGTGTTTGCTTCAGGGATAGGAGTCCTTGAACTCTGTCCCCAGGGCCTTGCCCTTGCAGGAGGCTTGCTNTCTCTAATATAAAACTAAATCCTTATTTAAATTTGAGTAAAAAAAAAGGTAAAAAGTTTGATTTGGTATATACTTCTCTAGTGGAGATACCCAAATTTAACGGAAGAGAAATTTAAATTTAAATGAAGAGAAACCTAAATTTAAAAGAGGGTAACATATGACCATTATATCTTTAAAGTAGGATGTAATCTCACCATTAAAAATTTAGGTTTAAAAAAAGATTTCATTTGATTTGGATTAAAAAAAAAGTTTCCCTTCATTTAGTATGAATATGAGTTTAACATTGGATAAACATTTTAGATCATTTTTACCCAAATTTAAATTTGGGTACAAAAAAAGGTAACGACCGAAAATGCTCTAAGAAAAGAATTGTGTTCTGGTAAATGGTCAATCTGAAAGATCATGTTGCTTCAATTGATTAATGCATGCATTGGTGTACAATTTTGGTTTGCAGTAAACTTAGAGTAGATAATGAGATGTGTAATTTTTGACATAAATGGGTAACATAACATCAATTCGATGTGAAATTAATGGTATTATCTACTAATGCTAATAATAAATGTTAAACACAAATAACATATGATGTTATTTGGCACATCATGTTATTTGTGACAAACTTANATTATCTACTAATGCTAATAATAAATGTTAAACACAAATAACATATGATGTTATTTGGCACATCATGTTATTTGTGACAAACTTATTTAACTGGTAACGTATGAAGAAAATGTTAGGTTTTTTTTTATTCTTTTTCAATTTTTTTTTTCATTTGCTCATCAGGTGTTATATATATATATTTTTTTTGTCAGGAAATTTAAAATTTTATAAATAAAAAAATAGACCCCTTTACAATTTGGTTTGCTCATCCTACTCCTCTTCTAACTTCCAACCTAACAATATGCATCACAGATTGAGGGAGGCACTCCTTCCCTTGTACATTAAGTTTCTCACTTCTACGATAGGTTGCAAGCATATGGACAGTCTCGTTCTGGGTCCTTCGTGTTGCCTGAAACTTCACCCCCTAAGAGTAATTGAGCATAGCTCCATATATCCTTTTGTAATGCTGCAATGCCCTTCAATGTATCCCCATTATTCCCGTTGAGAGAATCTATGAGCTGTTTTGAGTCAGATTCAACAATGACTGCATCATAGCTCTGTTCCACAGCAGCCCTGCACGCTCGGCTGACTGCATAAGCCTCTGTCATTAAGGCAGAAGCTCCCACCACAATTTCAGCCTCCGCCATGAGCACTCTATCTTCACAATCTCAAACTATGATAGCATAAGCTCCTTCCTTTGTCCTTTCCATCCAAGCTCCATCGCAATTAATCTTCAACACCCTTTGAGGAGGTAATTGCCAGGCCATTTCAGGCTCACCAGAGAAGTTCTCACTCTTTATAGGTACAACCTTGCAATTGTTCAATTCGTTTGCTGTTATTACAACATTTGTGATAACAGGTTTACTGCATGGCTATTTATGGTTGAAAACCCAATCATTCCTGGACTTCCATGTGAACCAACATAGGTATATTAGTAGAGTTTGGCCCTCGTGTTCTCCTTCACCACACCCCTTGCTGGTTTGTAGCTGCCTAATAAACCAATTTTCAAATCTACTTATGCCATACCTGTCTACCTTAATGTTTAAAAGGCAATTCCTCCACATCATTTGCACCCATGGACAAAGTAATAGCAAGTGTTCGGTGGCCTCTTTTTCCTCTCCACATATGGGGCAAGTTGGTGAATTTGACAGCTTTCTCCTTCATAGCNGATTTCATTTGATTTGGATTAAAAAAAAAGTTTCCCTTCATTTAGTATGAATATGAGTTTAACATTGGATAAACATTTTAGATCATTTTTACCCAAATTTAAATTTGGGTACAAAAAAAGGTAACGACCGAAAATGCTCTAAGAAAAGAATTGTGTTCTGGTAAATGGTCAATCTGAAAGATCATGTTGCTTCAATTGATTAATGCATGCATTGGTGTACAATTTTGGTTTGCAGTAAACTTAGAGTAGATAATATGAGATGTGTAATTTTTGACATAAATGGGTAACATAACATCAATTCGATGTGAAATTAATGGCATTATCTACTAATGCTAATAATAAATGTTAAACACAAATAACATATGATGTTATTTGGCACATCATGTTATTTGTGACAAACTTATTTAACTGGTAACGTATGAAGAAAATGTTAGGTTTTTTTTTATTCTTTTTCAATTTTTTTTTTCATTTGCTCATCAGGTGTTATATATATATATTTTTTTTGTCAGGAAATTTAAAATTTTATAAATAAAAAAATAGACCCCTTTACAATTTGGTTTGCTCATCCTACTCCTCTTCTAACTTCCAACCTAACAATATGCATCACAGATTGAGGGAGGCACTCCTTCCCTTGTACATTAAGTTTCTCACTTCTACGATAGGTTGCAAGCATATGGACAGTCTCGTTCTGGGTCCTTCGTGTTGCCTGAAACTTCACCCCCTAAGAGTAATTGAGCATAGCTCCATATATCCTTTTGTAATGCTGCAATGCCCTTCAATGTATCCCCATTATTCCCGTTGAGAGAATCTATGAGCTGTTTTGAGTCAGATTCAACAATGACTGCATCATAGCTCTGTTCCACAGCAGCCCTGCACGCTCGGCTGACTGCATAAGCCTCTGTCATTAAGGCAGAAGCTCCCACCACAATTTCAGCCTCCGCCATGAGCACTCTATCTTCACAATCTCAAACTATGATAGCATAAGCTCCTTCCTTTGTCCTTTCCATCCAAGCTCCATCGCAATTAATCTTCAACACCCTTTGAGGAGGTAATTGCCAGGCCATTTCAGGCTCACCAGAGAAGTTCTCACTCTTTATAGGTACAACCTTGCAATTGTTCAATTCGTTTGCTGTTATTACAACATTTGTGATAACAGGTTTACTGCATGGCTATTTATGGTTGAAAACCCAATCATTCCTGGACTTCCATGTGAACCAACATAGGTATATTAGTAGAGTTTGGCCCTCGTGTTCTCCTTCACCACACCCCTTGCTGGTTTGTAGCTGCCTAATAAACCAATTTTCAAATCTACTTATGCCATACCTGTCTACCTTAATGTTTAAAAGGCAATTCCTCCACATCATTTGCACCCATGGACAAAGTAATAGCAAGTGTTCGGTGGCCTCTTTTTCCTCTCCACATATGGGGCAAGTTGGTGAATTTGACAGCTTTCTCCTTCATAGCTCCCATTTAGTTGTCAATGCTCCATTTGCAACTTTCCACATAAATGCTTGTATTTTGGGGTGAACCTTACTTTTCCAAATACTCCTACATAGCCCTTCTAGAGTTTGATAAGATGAGGAGGCAGTGTCTCTGGCCTGAGGAGCTTGAGCTCTTTGTGCTTGCATATGATGCTCACTTTTAACAGTATATACTCCATTGCTTGTAAACTCCCATTTTATTTCATCAACCTAGGGTGTTTCACTAAGAGGGATAGCCAATATCTCTTGAGCTATATCTGGTGGAAAATTAATTTGCACCTCCTCAACCTTCCATCTTCTAGTTGTTGGGTTGATAAGTTGTTGGACTAATTGTATGCGTCTTGTTGAAAGTTGGGAATAGCTTTGTGCCCAGGAATCCACACATCCTCCCAACACTTAACTTGACTGCCATCTCCTATCTACCATATATGTCCTTCTCTAATCAACTCCCTCCCATCCAGCAGACTATTCCAAATCCATGAGCTTGATTTCTTGGAGGACACTGTCCAAAAAGATTGGTTAGGAAAGTACTTTGCCTTTAAGATTTTAGCCCAAAGAACCTCTGGATTATTCATGAGTCTCCAAGCTTGCTTCGCTAACATTGCAACATTGGACTGTTCAAGGCAATATTATCATAACCGGACCGGCCATATAATAATAAAAAATATATAATAATTATAAAATATAATAATTTAACTAAAAAAAATATAAAATATGTGCAAAATACATTGATTTTGTAGTCACACTGTCTCAGACCCAAAAATGTGCAAAATCATCAAACAATGTGCAAAATCAACCAACAATGTGCAGAATTATACAACAAATAATTAAACAAACATCACATATTATACTAAAAAATTAAAAATGTAGTCACATTGTCACAGACTCACAATCAAAAACACAAACGCAAATACAAACCTGGTTAGATCATATTATGCCCAAAAACACAAACCATAATTTTATTGTATAAGATTTGAAGAAAGTTTTTACCTTAAAGGGTGGAGATGACGCCTACGCTCGCTGGGTTCGCCTGAGTTGTTGATCGCAGTCTGGGTTCGTTGGGTTTACTGGTCACAGTCGAAGATCGCTGGTCGTAGTGGCTAATTGCAGTTTTGGATTCGCTGATTGCAGTCGAAGATTGTTGGTCGCAGTGACTGATCGTAGTCGAAGATGGCTGGTTGCAGTTGAAGATCCCTCCCTGGTCGCTAATTGTTGTGGTTGATGCCGCTGATCGCAGTCGAAGATCCCTCCTTGGTCGCTAATCGTTGTGGCTGATGCCGCTGATCGCAGTCGAAGTCCATAAGTTGCCTGAGGCCTTGATGTTGCTGGAGCCTGGTGCTGGTGGTGCCTTCTGTTATGCGATTTAGGGCAAAAAAAAAAAAAAAAGACCCTCAAATCTTGTACAACTGTCGGTTCATGATTTTTTATAAAAATGGGTCAATTTTTTGGTTTATAGTCGGTTTCCTGTCTTATGCTGTCCAACTAGGAAACTGGATCGGTCTAGGTCTAGTTTGCGGTTGAATCGGTCCAACTGGCCTGTCCGTTCCGATTCTAATAACACTGATCAAAGGTCCCCAAAGCCCAGTCCTCCATCCTGCTTTCTTTTAGTTATTTGATACCACTTTGTCCAGTGAATCCCCTTTTCTCCTGTAGACTTACTCCACCAAAAACTCCTAATTCTAGCTGTGATTTCTTGGCAGAAAGACATTGAAAATTTAAAGATTGACATTGCATAGTTCAGAATTGATTGTACCACTGCTTTAATAAGAATCTCTCTCCCAGCGTAGCTCAACATTTTTTCTTTCCACCCGGCTATCTTGCTTAGAATTCTGTCTTTCATCCATCCAAGAGTTTGCTTCTTTGATCTCCCCCATTCAGTTGGCAACCCCAGATATTTTCCAGATGAGTGCAGCAACGGCATCCTCAAATACTCAGCTAACTCAAGTAGCATTTGCAGTGGAGGGTTTTTTGTATGGCTTGATAGCATAAAGATGTCATGGACTTATAGTTTATGGAGTCTATAGATGCTGTGTTTGGTTAAGAGAGCAAAGGGTCGTAGTCTCGAATTTTTGTTTTATGAGTAATACCTGTCACTAGTCAGTCCAAACAACCATACGATTAATCACCGGGTTGGTCTGGGGACATCTACCGCCAAGCACAACCAGTAGTAATTAAATGGCAGAGCATCATCCATGCAGCAATGCTTGAACATATTAAGGTTCACTGGTCCATTTTCCATATTATCCAAATCCAAGACAACAAGAAGTTTTTGGCAACTCATCTAGACTGGGCCATGAATCATATTTCAAGGGAATCCAATTCTAAAGCTCACGCTTTGGCCAAATGGGGACTACCCATGGATTTTATTGGTTTGTTGGAAGCAGAAGCTCTCCCACAGCACACCATAGAATGCGTCAGTGGAGATAGAAGTAGCCTTAGTGTAAGGGGTAGAACCCTCCACTAAGGATTTCGGCTTGACCTGGGTTAACCCACGCGGGCGACCCCCTAGTAGCCTTTACCTCTCAGTGCCCGTAGGAGCTTCGTCCCACATCGACCGAGAGTCGTCTCCCCCCCTCGTATATCAGCCCTTGCACTCAAAGGAGGAGGTACCCACTAGGCACCTGATCAGGTCACTAGTGGGTACCTCCTCCTTTGAGTGCAAGGGCTTATATGCGAGGGGGGG